CAGAGGGGTAGCTTGGCCAAGGCTGCAGAGAGAAGACATAGCTACAGCCAAGGACTTCTGGCTCAGTTCAAACATTCTCTTCATTACCAACATTTGCATGGCTCTTTTAAATCTCAAAGTACTTTCCCAGTTTACAAGAGAGATAAAATTAATGGTAAAAGTCCTTAATCTACAATCGAATATAGTTATCTTCCATCTCAAAACTCTATCTTAAGTCTCTTCCTCTGTTTAGAAAATTGTTCTTCTCATAAAGTAGAACCCACCTCTTGCTATTGGAACGAAAAGGATCAGCTTAGAACTGTTATGAAATATGGTAGCCACTCACCACACATGACCTCTAAGCATGTGAAAGGGGCTAGTGTCCATGTCAAAAGGATATTTGGACATATTGAGTTAAATGAAATATATTGTTAGGTGGCTAGAGAAACACTCCTGCAGTTAAGGGCTTATAATGTTCTTGCAGAGTTCACAGCGCCCATGCTGGGCAGCAGACAGCCATATGTACCTCCTCCAGCTCCAGGGGATCCAATGATCTCTTCCAACCTCCATGAGCACCGCACTTACGTGCCTAGCCCCTTCTCGTATGCACACAATTAAGATTTTTAAAGTATATGGTTACAATTTCACCTGTTATTTTTAAATATATTTTTATTGATTCTTTGAGAATTTTACACATGCATCCAATGTATTTTGATCATATTTACCCCTCAACTCCTCCCCCTAACTCTTCAGATCCATTCCCAAACCCCTCCAAACTTGGTGTCTTTTTGCTTTTTTAAAAGTAACACATCAAGTCCAATTTGTGCTGCCTTTATGCTCGTGGTGATGAGACCATCCACTGGAGCTTAGTTGCCCCACTGGGGGCCACACTCTAAAAGAAAAATGACACCCTTCTGAAGAAGCCATCAGCTGTCTGTCAACAGTCCCCACCTGGGGTCAGGGCTCATAGCTCCTCCCCACTCCAGCTGGACCGCTGACTGGGTGGAGCTTGTGCAGGTAATTACAGCCACTGTGAGCTCAGGAGTGCAGCTGCCCTGTGATGTCCAGAACACGCTGTTTTACGCTAGTCCCCCCAACTGGCTCTTACAGTCTTTCTCTCCCCCTTCCAGTGTTCCCCAAGCCTTGGCTTGAGGGTTCTCTTGTAATTTTTTTTTTTTAAAAAAGCCCTTTTTTAATGCAGCTCTTAAAAAAATCTAAAACTAAATATGTAGCTTACATTATATTTCTGTTATTTTTATTTTATGCTTTGTTTTTCGAGGCAGGGTTTCTCTGTGTAACAGACCTAGTTTGGAACTAGCTCTTGTAGACCAGGCTGGCCTTGAACTTGAACTCACAGAAATCTGCCTGCCTCTGCCTCCCAAGATTAAAGGTGTCCGCCACCACCGCCCGACAGCTTACATTATACGTCTGTTGGACAGCATGAACGTCACGGCTGAGATGTGACTGAACTGTGTCAATCACTTGTCCCCATTGTGGCTGAAAGCTGGTGCTAGGAGACAAGGTGACCTTCTGTTCCATTCCACCGGAGTAGCGACAGTGATCATTGCTGGGTCATGTTTCAGGGCCTTAATCGACCAGGAACAGCATTTAATGTCTAAATCATGAGGTAGCACAGTCTCAGTTTAGGTTTCGACATCCAACAGTGGCTGCAGGAGAGGTTTCGGGGACCCGTCGTGAGCATTGTTATGATTGTCGCACATGAACATCCTATAGGCCCTCAAGACCCGACTAAGAAACTCTTTTCCCGTGAGGGCTCTTTCTGAAGCTCCCTTCTCTGCCCTAGTTCACAGGCTCTTTCTTCCTTTCCGCAACAATGGCAAGACACAAGCCACACACTTGTCATCTGCTTGTGAGAGTCTCACGGCGACGTGCCACGTCTTCTCAGCCGCACTGTCTCCAGTGGTAAGAACTGTGTTCCCTGTGGTAAGAACCACGTGTTTCAGTTCATCCTTAGTATCTGTCAGACCCTCTTGGTGACGTCACTGAACTAAGCACTTGTTATCACTACAGATCTCTAAAGCAGGCAGGGAAATAACCATTATCCTTGTTTGTAGATAATGAAACTACTACTTAGTGACTAGCACGCAGGTTTGCAGCTGGTTTGCTGTCAAGAGGGAGCAGAAGTCACACTGCCTACTCTCTGTTCTTTATTCTGGGCTCTGCCACACTGATAAGATGGTGTCTTAGTTAGGGTATTTATTGCCGTGAAGATACCAGGACCATGGCAACTCTTATTTAAAAAACCATTTAATTGGGGTGACTTGCTTACAATTCCAGGTGTTCAGTCCATAATCATTATGACAGAAGGCATGACAGTGTTCAGGCAGATGTGGTGCTGAAGCTGAGAGTGCCACATCTTGTAGGCAACAGGAAGTTGACTGACAGTCACAATGAGGGGAGCTTGAGCAAAAGAGACCTCAAATTCCACACCCACAGCGACATACCCTTCCAACAAGGCCACACCTCCTAATGGCGCCACTCCCTTTAGGGTCCATTTTCTTCCAAACCACCACAAGATGGTGTGTTAATTTCCTAGGGCTACCATGATATCACAGGTTGGGCAGCACAAAACAGTGTATGTACTCATGGTTCCAAAGGATGGACATCAAGAATTGAGGTGTCAACAAAGCATGCTTCCTCTGAATGGTCCCCACAAATAAGATGACAGCCCGAACCCCAACTAGCAGATGTCTCCAGCCATCCCAAACAATGATATAATTGTGAGAAATTAATAGAGAAAGAGGTTGTTACTGTGATCCTGTAACTCTTCCAGAAGATTGCTTTGGGAATCTAAGGATTGGGAGACTAGATGGAGGAGGAGCCAGTCGAACACACTAAAGAAGTCTAAGAAGTGTAACTTGCACTTAGGATCTGATCCAGTCTTCAGGCACGTCTTAACATACACACAAAAAAATGTTTCTAATAAAAATACAAAGGTTAAAAAATGAAATTGGTAAAGTGAGTTCTGCTCTAGCTAAGAGGATGGACTGGCAGCAGTCTGCAGTCAGGACCTCAGTGGGAAAGCACAGGATGGGCGGCAGCTGCTCAGGTATCTGATGAAAGCTAAGGACAGAGGCAAGTCCAAATAAGCTGTTTCTAGATCTGTTTCCCTTCAAAGGCAAGGGCATGCCTGGGCTTTGGGTCAAGACTGTCTCCAAAAGTTTTCTTAGTCCAGTGACTTAATCTCTTTGTATCTGCCCGTGTTCAAAGTGAGAATGGCTACCTAGATGGGCTGTGGTAAAGAGAGAGGATCTACCACAGTACAAAAGACATACAATATACATCACATTTACTAAATCTTTCCTTTGTCCACCCCTACAAATACAGCCAATATAATTTCTACCTACTCCTCCATCCACCCTGACAAATATAAAAGGTGATTTACATTTAATTTTAAAACCCAGTAGGTGAAAAACAATATAACACAATTAGTTAGATTCAAATTCCCACATTCATTAATTCAACATTTACTGAGTAGCCACCCTTGCCAGTCATGGTGTTAAAAACAAAACATTTTCCCTCTTAGCGAGCTCACTGTTCAGCGAGGAGATGACAAGTAAACAATAAATATATAATTTAAAGACATAGCCAGACCCTGTGGCACATGTCTGTAATCCTAGCACTTGGGAAGTAGAAGGAAGATGATCACAGTGTATCTGAGGGCAGAGTGGATATGTGAGGCCCTTTCTCAAAAATAAAATAAAAACCGAAGGGCCAATTATGGTGGTATGTACCTGTAATACTGAGGAAGCTAAGGCAGGAGGATGACCAGTTCAAGGTCAACCAGGGTTACAGTGAAGTCGTGTTTCAAAACAAACAAAGGGGATGTTTTTCAAAAACATCCTTCGTGCCAAAGAAGAAATGACAAGGTGCAATGCTGATGGGTAGGAAGGCAGATTTAGTTAGTAAACATGACCCAGTGGCCTTTCTGAGGTGGCAATTAAACCCCAAACCTTGAAGGACAACAAGAAGTCAGACCTGTAAAAGGCAGGTGGAAGTTCTTGCAGCTGGTCAAATCCACATGTCTGAAGGCAGCCAGGCGCTAAGTGTTCGGAGTTGTTGTATTTGGGAGGTTCACAGATTAGAGAGACCATTCTGCCTAAGTCCCGCTTCCGACCGTGGCCCTGAACATTGCCTCCTCACCCCTTCCTCCACTGTCGCCACTCTCTAGTTTTTCTGCCCCCCTTCCCTCACAAACTCATTCCACCTGAAGCCCATTTTTCTGTCCCCCTGGAAGGCTCTGTCCCAGGATCTTCCCAAGGCATCTGTCAGTCAGTCTTAGGGCCATGTCACCTGTGGTAAGAGATTGTTCAACACTGTCCCACAGTGTTCATTCTGTTTCCTGGTTTGCTCTTGTCCTATTCCTTACCACTACCGGTTTTTGCCTATTCCTTCACAGTAGAGTGTGAATTCCACGAGTTTATATCCTGCATTGCTGTAACCCTAGAGCCAGGATCAGTTTCTATAAGTGACAGATACCCAAAGGATACTTTTTAAACACCCCAAGAAAATTATGATGGACAGGTAACTCAAGGTGAAGAGCTGATTGTTGTTTGAGACAAACTGAGAGGGAGTCCAGAATAAGTAGGTTTGGAATTAAAACGGGAGAGGAAGGCTGGAGGGGCACCTACAGAAGAAAAACTGGTTTTGTCTTCTCCATTGGGAAAGCTGACTCCCTTAGCGCTAGAATTCATTTTCAAATTTTTCTATCATCAGTACCTAGTCCAGGACCTGGCATTTGGTGAATGCTTGATAGGAACAGATGCTCACAGATAACCGTAGCGCGCGCGCACAAAAAGTCTACTAATTCGTGGTTTCAGCTTAGCTGGGAAAGGTGAGCAGGTTGGAGACTCAGGATTCCTGGTGCAGAGAACAGAAGAGACTAACCAAACCGCAGAGGCAGGGCATCGGCTGTTGCGGCTGCGCAGTCCAGTCCCTCGGCCCCGAACAGCGGAACGCCCGCCCGCCGCGCCCACCGCGCGTGCGCACTGCACGCTTCCCGCCTCCAGCAAGATGGCGAAGGCCCTGTCCTGAGTGGGCGGAGTGTGGCTGCCGGAAACCCGGCTGCCGCCTTCGGGGAGCTTCGGGCTAAGGCCCGGGAGCAGCGGACGGAGGCTGGCGCGATGCTGTTCCCGGGAAGCGCGGTCGGCTGCCGCTGAGGAAGCTGGAGCGAGGAGTTGCCTTCCCAGCGCCCCCTATGTACGCCTCCTCGCGCTCGGGGCCGGTCGCCGCTTTGCCCGCCTCGGTACCGCCCGTGACTCTCGGGGCCCGGAGCTCCGGCGGCGGCCGGGACCGAGTCCCGCGGGAGGGGAGGCGCCCGGGCGGCGCCCGTGCTTGCGGCTGCGGAACGAGCGTCTGGCAGGTGAGTACGGCTGCGCACGCCGGCGACTCCCACCCTGGCGACCGGCGCCGGAGCCCGGCGGCCCGGGGCCACCGCTCTCCTCCGGGCTGCACGTTCCTGGCCTGCCCGTCTTCGGCCTTCTGCTGGCCGCGGGCTCGCAGGCTCCCCGGCTTCCCCTCCCACACCGTGGGCAGGGGTCACCGTGGGTGGGAGGGTGACTCCTGCCGCCCTCGCACCTTTTCCTGGCTTTGCAGGCAGCCTCGCCCCTGCTTAGCAATTCTCCTTTCGCTCAAGGTGCGTGGGTCGTCCTGCCCGTTTCATTTGAGCCCAGCCAGCTTTCTTCCCTTGAAAACTTTTGAGCTCCGGGAAGATTATCTGAGCCTAGTTTGTGGAGTTACCGAGGAAAGCGTTGCTTGTTGTGCAGAGGCCGGTGGGATCCGTCCCCCTTGAGAAGGAAACGAGTCCCGGTAGACTGGGATGGTTTAGGCGTCTGACTCCTGCCTAGTGGAGCCTGCGATAGCAAAATGATTGTTCGCTTCTAAATCATCAATCTCTTTCGACATAGTCAGTCTTTGGTCTCCAGATGGAGGCGAGTTTTGTGAAGCGTTCGGTTTTGTAGATCCATTGAAAGAATTGGGGAGTGTTCCGTTCCTTTAAAAAAAATACCTTAGACATGTAAGATAACACATAATGGCACAAGAAAGGAGAAGTAGTTTATACTTTCTTTTACATTTTGTTTAGTTATTATTAGCCCACAGTGCGCATTGAAGCTTTGGAATCCCCAGTGTGCAAGCCCTTTGTTTTTTTTTTTTTTGTTTGTTTGTTTGTTTGTTTTTTAGAAAGGGCTGCTGCTCACACGTCTTGTATTCTCAGTTGTGACTAATGTTTAACAATGCATATAGCACCTGATAGTAGCTGTAACGGGGGTTTGTGCCAATCTCGGCTACCCCTCAAGGGTAATCGCGATTACTGTACGCAAAATTGTCCCGATTAATTTAGGGACCTTGCCAAAGCTTGCAAGTGCAAACTGCCCCATCACAGTGGCGGTGGAGGAAGTTGTCGGGGTGTTTGTCTCCTCTGTCTCGTTCCTTGGATATGTCAAGAGCCCCAAAGTGGGATTAAAAATACTTAGACTTTGCCCTTCGAGGCTGCAATACAGCGGGGCTTTGAATGCTAGTTCAGAAAACTGAGGTGTTAGCTCAGTGCTAGAATGCTTGACTCCATGTTTCATGCTCCAGGACTGTAAAAAAGAAAAATTTAAAATTTCACCATAGGATTGTCCACTTTAAAAGAAGAAATCTTTTTGAGTCTTCCCTCGTTTGTGACTGGTAGCCCTCACTCTTCCCCGCTAAAGACTGCGTGTTCTTAGGTCTTGGCTGTCACTCCTACGCTTTCATTTCCATTTGAAGGAATAAGAAGGAAGCTGGGGCTTCTAAACTCCAGTGGTTGAGAAAAATCTCAGCTGTTTGAGGCATACTTCCTCGATTTCCCAGATTCCCCCCCCCAATATTATCTCCCTATTTAATGCACATATTTCAGAGACAGAAATGTCTATCTTTGCAAGAGCAACCATCTCTCTTTATTTAGAACTGTCCATTATTACTGTCTGGAGGCCTTCTTCAGTCACTCCCTCTCTCTGCTATATATGTTTGTGTTTCTGCTGAGCTGCCAGGTACGACTCCAGGAGGCCATTCTGAATTACAAATTTTCCTTCAGAATTCTTTCATCCAAGGACTCTGATGTAGTCAGATAAATCCTTCAGTCTTGGTTTTGACTGGTGTTAAAACTGCTTAGCAGTGGGTGTGATCATATTACCACTTAGACTAGTCTGTATCTATAAAGTAGGATGAAATACTTAGCGTGCATGGTGGATACAGAGGGAGTTACTATGTGTTAAATGTCATCTGAGTGTTTGGCACATCCTCATCTTTCATTTCACTACGAAGTTACCATGAAAGTCACAGTGCTGTAGGGCCATCAAGATGGGTCGGCAGGTAAAGGCGCTTGCTGTGGAACCTAACAACTGGGTTAGACCCCCAGGACCCACATGGTTGAAGGAGATAACCAACTCTTGCACGTTGTCTTGTGACCTATATCACACATAGACACACAATAAATAAATGTAGTTTTTAAAAATCCTTTTTAAAAAAATCAGGTAATACTAAGCACCAAATCTATTCTGTTTCATCTTCAGTTTGCGTAGGCAATTTGTAAATTATATAGTGCTCTGTAGTAATGAACGACCTGTTCTTGGCATTCTGCACTGTCCTTCCTGGTTTCTACGAATGTCCTGCCCTCGCTCGGCTTCATTTTCTCTTACTCCTGCTATCAGCTAGGCTGCAGATAGGATTCTCAAACAGAGGTAATGCATTTGCCTCTTGTAATTGGCAGATACGTCCTTAGAAATGGCATGAAGTGTGGTTTGTTTAGCGGTCATACAATCAGTGCTGAAACTCCATCTTTCCTCTCTTTTCTCAACATCGTCCTCCTGTTTGAGTTCTTTGCACAGACCTGCTTCTCACCTAATAAGAAGATGACTAGATGCAATGTTCGTGTATGATCTTCATTTACTATCAGAGGAAGGTAGAAGGCTTCTCTTCTAGCCTTTCCCCAGAGTTCTCAGCTCTCCTGTGGTTGAACAAAACAGAAGGTCATGCTGCTAGGTCTGGAGCAGTATCTTTTTCTCTAGGGGTGGTAGTTAGGTAGGAGTGAATCCTGTCTAAAAATAAGGACTGGAGCTCAACATGAGTGGGGTGTGTGAAATGGGTCCTAAAAGGGTTGCTAATATCCTCAAGGCTTTGTATGTTCTTTGGTGTGTTTTCTTGGTGGCCATGCACATTTTTCTTTTGATATAAATGATTTTGTGTGGATATTTCTAATTTCTGGAGCTCCCCTTTCCACTTCCGCTGTTGACTGTGAACCCATCCCTATCTCAGATGTGCTGCCACAGTCCACGTGACACAAACCAAGTCAGTTTAGTCTGCATCCACCTGCATCTTGTGCTGTGCTCCAGTGTGCTTGCATGCTTGTATTTTCTTCCTTCTAGTTTCTCCCTTGGAGCACACTTCTCTCAGTCACCCAGTATTGAGCCTTACAGTCATACTGGTTCTTTCTCCACTGCCCATGAGTTGTCAGATCTTAAACAGATGTTAGTTAGGCTCCAAATTACAGAATACTTACTTGGTGTCTCACATAAAACAGATGATCAGAATTAGAGGATTTCATGGCTAGTCAGTTGTGCTGCACAGCGAGGTTTCAGGGATCATCTCTATAATTGACAAGTCCTAGTGTCCTAGTGCTGCCTCAGTTGGGTTTTCTATTGCTGTGAAGAGACACCATGACAACAGCAGCTCTTATAAAGGAAACATTTAATTGGGGTGGCTTGCTTACAGTTCAGAGGTCCTGTCTGTGGTGGGGAGCATAGCCATGTGCAGACTTGGTGCTGGAGGAGTAGCTGAGAGTCCTACATGTTGCAGGCAACAGGGAATGGTCTGAGTATCCCACTGAACAAAGCTTGAACAAAAGAGATGTCAAAGCCCACCCCACAGTGACAGTCTTCTCCAGCAAGGCCATGCCTCCTAACAGCGCCATTCCCTTTGGAGGCCATTTTCTTGCAAACCACTACGCGTACTAACTTTTGAACACACGCGTATCGCATCATAATTGTTCATGACTCTCTTTTTTCTCCAAGTACCATACCCACCAAAGATAAGTATGTCCTCTTATCTCTTAATTAGGCAAGTAAACCTTCCACAAAAGGTCTGTATCAATCAGGTATCTATCTTAATTGTAATAATACTTGGAAAGCCCAGTTATGGCATTTAAGTATAAGAAGAGGCTGAAGAGAAAGTGGCATTTGGTGTCAGTGACATATTTCTGCAGTGTTCTATGGAGAAGTAAGCTTTACAAAGAGAATTGCAAACTAACAGTAGGCAGCGTAAAGCGCTGTTTGCCAATGCACTGTCATACACCATACATGGCTTTTTGCCAAACATTTTGATAATCATAAGTAACTTTCTAAAGTGGTTTCTTATATAAAATTTGTAAGATTTGAGTGGTAGATTAGAATATTGGATTCTTTTAAAGTTGGTATGATATTAAATGCATTTAAGCATACCTGGTGGGGCCTCTGTCTGAACCAGATATAAGCAATTATGAAACAGATTTGTGGTTCCTTTTCAGGTAAAGCATTTGGAAATTCAGGGAACATTTTTGGTTGTCACAGTAACTGTCAAGTCTCACTAGCAATTAGAGAGTAGAGGTCAGATACACTAAGTAGTCTGTGATGTTTGAAATGACCAGTCTCACAAAACAGTCATACCTTAAAGCGCCACTACATACACACTGAGATTAGCAAGTGTTTTGCCTTTTAGAAGAATTCACAATGATCTACTTATTGTCTTATATTGTAAATGACAGGACAACAAATTCAAACTGATTTTCAAAAAGCAGTGATTAGATCTTGTGTTAAATATTAGCTCAGGCATCATTCAGTGGCTCCCATGAAAGGAAGGACTTGGCTCCTTTGTTCTGATTTGCTCTGCTGTCTCATTTCCCTTAATTCTGGTTTCATTCTTAGGCCTGCCTCAGGGTAGCAAATTACTGTAGCACTTTCAGACTTAATGTCCACATTTCACATACAAAGTAAGATGAATCAATCACTGTTATATTCGATGTTGTATTGGTTTTGAGTATCACTGCTCCTGGCCTTCTCTAAGCACCTGTTCCCACAAAGTTTATTAGTCTTTCTGTCTTGGTACAACTTTGCAGACTGTGTCTTCATACTCTGTTTTTTCTCTCTCATGCTCTATTCTCCCTTATCTTTATGTTCTTAAATTCTGTCTAGATTATTTAATGGGTTAGTGGTTTGACCGTATATAGAATAATTTTATACTTAGCACAAAGATAGGTTGTGGGGAAAGCAGAGAAACGGAAGGTCCCGCCTCTGTATTCCTTCAACAGCTTTTTTGAGCCCTGAAGTATGTGCATTGTACATGCCACCAAGCATGTGTATGATGTTC